CTATGGTTTGACGCACAGTCATGTGACAGGATCTCATGTGTAGAATAAACTGCACATTTATTTCATTGGAATTGTGTTTTTGAGAAGCACTTTGCAGATTAAATATAATTTACATTAAAACCTTCTGTTGTTTGTCCCTTTATTTTATCCTAAATGACTGAAACTGGAAATTATGGATCCCAGTCAGTGGGAGAAAAGCATGGGGGGGGGGGGAAAACTCTGGACTGAGGACAGGTCGAGTTCAGCCAGATAATCCAGAGGTCATGTCTGAATCAGGCCAGCTCATCTTCCTTTTGCTTCAGACTTCTTTAAGAGCAATAGACTCAAAGGTTTAGCCAGTAAAGCCAGTCAGATGGATGAATGAGTGTAAATGTGTGAAGAACTCGCTAAAGATCCATACAAAAAGCTGGAGCTTCAGATGTGACATGCTCTCTGACCTCCACGTCTTCATCATTGACTGATTCTCATTGAAGGCTTCCCTCATCTTTGGGGAAGTGCAGTCAATCTGATCTTTATTTCCTCCCTCAGAGGTCAAAGGGTTGGTGTCAGCTGCATTTAAAGAACTGCAAAAGGCTCTTTCTGGTTTCACAGTCAGGCATGAGGCTTTCCATGCTTTAGCGTCAGCAGGTGCTCCTATCACATCTTCCTGCTTCCTCAGTTTAATGATCTTAGGAGGCAGAATGGAGTGTGCAGACAAACCCTCAGACTGAGGTCTGCAGTTCAAATAATTTGATGAAGCATGGCGTCTGTACGCCTCAGCAGCCCATCTGTGCAGCAGAGTTAACAACAGAAGGCTGACGAATTATTAATATTTTTAGTTTGATTCGCTCTTCAGTTCCTGATCTTACATGAGAGAAGAAAACTGAAGGAATAAGAGCGTACAACACAACTGCAGCAACTTAAAAGTCAAAATTGACTTTAAAAGAAAATTCAACAAAATAAAAGGGGTTTCCAGTTACATGTTTGGATAAATTTCCTGCAGACGTCTGAATTGAACTTTAGTCACACAACTCGCACGTGCTGTTACTGGACAAAAGGTGGCGCTGTTCTTAAACCACAGCTCAGCTGGGTTTTTAAACTGTCACACAATCCATGTAGATGTGTAAGAATAGAAAACTGGCTGTGTCAATTTAACAAGTTCAGAGTGTGAAACTTACAGTTTTCTATTTTCTCATTTTTAATGTAAATGCTTTTATTTTCGCAAAACTCAAGTTTTTATTTAATTAAAATATTTTTTTGCATCTCGTTTTGGTTAATGATAACTAGCCTGGTGTTAAACAACAAGCTGGGCTTAAACAATGAATACAGGACAGGAAGTGACTCATATGCATCATTAAATTACTTTTTGGTGAGCAACACTCGATGGTGTTAAATGGAGACCGCTTCGTTTTTGTTGGCAGACGTGAACTTAAAACATCGAAGCAGAAGTTGTAAAAACTCTTTGTGGACAGAGAGAGATGGAGGAGCTGTGAGACTTCACTTATAAACAAACGCTGCTCCAGAGCCCGTTTGTGTACACGAGAGAAAATAATGTACTAAAGCCGAGCTCTGTTTCACTGGCTGCTCAAAATACAGTTTCAGAGACAAGGTTTACCCGCCAAATAAACAAAATTCTCCCTGCATCACTCGATGCTCGTGCTGCAGTCTGCAGCTTGTTTTTCAGAGAGAAACAAAGCTGGAAGAGGCTAAAAAGTGAAAATGTTTCTGAGCTATCACGTGTAATTTAGAGAGTAGCTCTTTATGCAGGGGAAAGTTTAGAAGAATGATTTGTCACATCCACACAGACTCTGTGCAGGTCCAGCGAACTGCAGCACTCTTCATGGCTGTTTTCTCTCACAGGTGATGTGTTTGTTCAAGATGATGAGATATAGATACAACTCATCCAGAAAGTGTTTACAGAGCTTCAGTTTTTCTACATTTTGTTGTATTTAAACCGTATTTTTTATGTTTTATTTTTAATAAAAAGGACGCTCACGCAGACTTTTTTCCGTGTTGTCATTTTGGAGTATTGTCTGGAAAATATTGAGGTGAAATACGGCAAAATGTGGAACAACTGAAGCGCTGTGAGTAGTAGTGAAGGGAAACAGCCATGAAGAGTGCTGCAGTTTGTTAGACCTGATTTCTGTCCCATCACTGAAGTCTGCAGAGTTTTCAGACCTAACACAGAGCAGAGCACACACATGGTCAGTCTTAACGTTCAGCTGTTGTTTTAATGCAACATGAAGTCATTAAAAACATTCAGTGTTTGTTCATTTATGTTTACAACCTCTACTTTTTCAACCTTTTGTAAATACTTGAATCAGGACTAGTGAACTCTGTGTGTTTTCTGGGACTGAGTAGATTTTTAAAGTGACCTTTGAGTGACTCAAAAGTATCTGTAGGATTATTTTGTGTCTGTGTTACAGCCCTAGCAAGGCCTCCTCCTGAAGGTGCCTGTGTGGGCGTGTCCTACAATCTCTTCTGCCTGAGGTGCCACCTTTCTCTTTTACACAGCTGACTCACATCAGTAATTAAAGGTATTTAAGCCCAGGGAAAGGTGAGCTCTGGGCCAGAGTGCCATGTTAGTGGTTGCAGCTGGTGAGCTGTGTTTTTGCTGTTTACTGCTAGTGAGCTGCGTTTGGTGATTGTTTAGTCCTGCCAGTGTTTGGTGACTAAACTCTTTTTTTTTGACTTACTCTTCAGTTTATTGACCAACGCCTGAGTTTTGTTTTGTTTCTTTAAATGGTGATAGCGGCTTGACCGTCTCTTTTAGTTAGTATTTGATAGAAACTTTAATAAAACTCTTTAACCAGTTTGCCTCTGTCTCCTTTTTCTGACCCGGACACTTTTTGTTACTTCCCCTTCATCGCCTGGACCCTTTTAGGGGAACGTAACATCTGCACTAAATCATTGTGTGTGTTTATTAATAAGCTTAAAAAGTTTGGTGTTGTCTTCTATCTAAGGGCTGCGTGATTCCTTCTTGACAAGCAGAAATGTGAAAAACCTTCAGCTTTTATAGGCTCGAATAAAAACTTTAGATTTAAAATCAGCTTTAAAATCATCTCAGCTCTTTTTGAGAAATTTTCATCGGTGTCGTCCTGCTTCAGAACTACTAGAACGTCTTCAGCTCATCACGTGTCATTTCCTTCAGAGTGTTTGAAAGAAATAGTTTGTAATTTAATTTTCACATTAGTTAAAGTTTACAAGAAAATTCCAAAAGGTTGATTCTGTCCATATGGATGTAGCACAAGTCCATTAATCAAAGACTACTGATCAATGGCTATGAGTACCATTCACACAGTTGGGGAATGGCTGCAATCGCTTCATTGTAAGGTGGCGAAAGATGTACCAGAAGTCATGGCAGAGCCTCCGCCATGTTTAACACATGGCTGCAGACACTCACTGTTGGACCTCCCTCCTGGCCTCCTCCATACATACTGACAATAATGTGAGTCAAAAATTTCAAATATGTTTTCATGACTCCATCAGACCTACTGCCACTGATTTTCAGTCCAGTTCATATATAATTCAGCGAACCTCAGGTCAGAGTGAAGCGGCTTAAACAAACAAAAATAAATAATTCTTCTAAAATGGTCCAGTGTAAGGACTGGAAAGGCAGCTAATGTCTGACAAAAGAAGCTTTGAAAGACCTTCAAAAAGCTGAAGAACTACTGCTCGAAACCACTTTAAGGAATCAGTAGAAAGTCTGGCTCCTCGGACACAAATTATCAAGAGATGAGGGGTGGCTCAAGACTTTTGCACAGCACTGAATACCAAAAATGTGAGTCATCTGCTCAACAGTTGAAGCTTGACTCAAACTGGGTCATGCAGCAGGTGAACAACCCCAAGCAAAGCAGCTGATCTCCAACAGAATGACTGAAATGCTGCAGGACCCTCGAGCAATGCTGTGAACAAGAGGTCCAAAATTCCTTCACAGTGATGTGAGACGAGTCACAAAGGGAAACAGTTTCTGCAGGTAGTTACTGCTACAGCTACTGAATCATTGACTGTGGACTCAGTTTTCCACAGCACTGCAAAATCCTGTAAGAACAGATTTAATCAAAAATGCAAACGCAGCCCTGCTGAATGACTAAAAAGGATTGAAGTCTGCAGTTTGAAACACAAACCAGAGACTTGAATGTCAGTTTAGAGATAAAGTCTCAGATAATTGTGTTAAACTTTCTAATGAGCTTCACTTCAGCTCACACAGGGCTGGTGGGCCAGTAATGGCCGACGTCAAGGACTGCAGGGTGTTTTCATGAAAACGTGTCAGTAAGTCATGGTGGTTAACTGCAATACACAAGACCCAACAGTACTGCTTCCGGCATCTAATGATGAAACCACGCTGTATCCTCTGGTTGGTGTTTTCTGATTTTAGTGCTACTCAGTTTACTGAAACATTACATCAGGAAGTGCAGCACAGAGGCTCGTTAGCACAGCTGGTTCCTGTTGATTGAATCATCTATTGCTCCAGCTCAAAGCAGGTAGTTTTTGTTATTACTGTACAGTTTTATGTGTCCTGGTGATTAAGTTATTTTGTAATCAGCTGCCCATCGTGTCTTTATTACTTTAGGAAGTTTGCATACAGGTAACATATCAACGCAGTCACTGAAATGAAAATGAAATACAAAGGGACTCAAATACGAAGGGAAACTGCAGCAATTTTTTTTTTTTGGGGGGGGGGGTGCTGCTAATGTGGGACATAAAAAAAGACTGATGACATTATCCATCTTTATTAAAGTAAAATTCAGTGTGGATCTTTTCTAGTAAACAGTAAAGATGGCTTTCTTGAAGAAGAAGAAAAAAAATGTTTGAAAACAAATCATTTACACCAGGTGTGTCAAAAATAAGGCCCGGGGGCCAGATTAAACTTTTACTGGTCACAGCTTTTCCCTACTGATAAAGACCTCACCCACTGCCATTTGTACTCCAAATGAAATGACAGAACACTGCTGTTGTTGATTTTTTTAGCATTTATCAGAGAAAAATCTGTATTTAAAAAATTAAAAATCTGAATTTTAACAAAATCTTCACTTTTGAAATTACAGGAGAGTCTGGACAATGAGCTGCCAGATCTTCTGTAAATTTACAAATGTATTTATTCCATCTTAAATCAGCAAACTTGTTAAAATTTTATGTTTGACCATCTCTGATTTGAACAAAAAAATATTATCATCCAAAGTTTTACCGTATATAATGACCACAGAGAAACTTCAGAAACCTTTTTGTCATCCATCAACCCACTTTCATGTGATTTCAGAATGATTTTGTTAAATATGTGTGTCTTTTTTTAGACCACGGTCATTCAGATTTTAGGACTTTTTTCTGTTGCTCCTGTCGAGCAGAAGATGGAATGACCCAACAGCAATATTTCTTTATCATGCAGAAAAACTGAGGTGTACAGTTAAAACGGCACTTCTTTGCCTTATATTAAGATGTGTTGGTGTAACTGTGTAGTTACACTGACAGAAAGGTCAGTTTCACTGGTCTGATTCACTTAACATCAAAGTGGCTTATGACAAAAGGAGTCTGACATCCCTGCTCAAACACAGAAAGAAAAATGAAAGTAACCACTAAGTGAGTGGTGGCATTGCACAGTGGACTAGGAAAAATGTCTCTATGAAACACCATCAGAATAAGCATGAGGAACAAGAAGGTGACACTGAAGAAAAATGTTATGGATGAACTGGACAGTCATGATATTTCCTGTAATAATGTATTTAAACTAGTGTAGTGCCATTTTAAAGGTTTCTATATTCTTTGATACTATCAGTGGGAAAATTGAAACCATGTCTGCTCCATTTTGCAAAAAGAGGGCATTAGAAAGTATGAGATCGCGGATGGTGAAAGACACGCCTTTGTGAGACCACAGAGTCTAAATGTAGAAAAACCACACCTGCATTTAAATGAGTTTTTCTCCTGCTAGCTGCATGCAAAGTTAGAATGGTTGCCGTCGCAGTTTGGATCCCCCCACTCGACATGCAAGTAAAACATGATCTGCTGGAGGGAGGAGATGTTTGAAAAATGACTGTCTGTGTGTTAAATAAGACCCTGAAGGCTGAAAACCAGTCTCTCTCTGATTGTGCGGGAAGGTTTTTCTTCTCTAGAGTTTAGACCAAACCCTGAACTTTTAGAGTAAAATATGACACCGAACCTCATGTGCAGTGCTCACCGGCATAGTCTTAAATAAGCTCAGGCCAAAGTTACCTGTTCAACCATGTAACTGAATGCCAAGAATAAATCTGTCAGGGAACACCGTACTGAGCGTAAAACTGTGGCCCTTCTGTGACACCTTCCACAAGATCACAACTAACAACACACAAATCTAAGTTTGAAGGCTGTAAAACTGATGATAAAATACACTCCCATCGGGTTAACAGTGAACCACTCAAATGTTGGCTGAGGGTTTGGTGTGATAAGTCTGTCACAGTCATCTAGACCTTTTGTTTTCAGATGTCCACTTAGGGGTGATAAATAAATAAAGGTGGAGAAGCTGACGACTCTATGACGAGTCACACGCAGTTGTAAGGATGATTGATCAGATCTGACAGTTGCCGTAGACAGGACAGATGATGAGCGGAGTGGAGTTTTGGCCACCATGAAGAGTCCCGGGGCTGAAGAAAGGGCGGAGTTTCTCTTTGAAGGAGCAGTCAGTGTAGCAATGAATGAGTTGTGCGGATTCAGCATTATAAAAAGAGACCGAATGATTCTCATAATCCACAAACACTCCCACTTTCTTTGGCTGAGAGTCCACACTGAGATGGACACGTGAGGCTTTGTACTCTCCTGCCCTTAAACATATTATCCAGAAGCCGTTCTTGGGGCTCACAAACATTGATCCCTTCCTATTTATTGACTCTTTAACGACACCTAAATCCCAGGAGGTTTTCTCCTTAACCTGAACTTCATAGTAAAAGCTTTCTGAAGAGAAGCTCTGATTTCCCACAACATTAATAGCACGGTCAAATCTTTCTGGGTTGTTTAGGAGAGTTTGTGTTATGTCACCACAGCGAACTTGCTTCCCGTCCTCAGACAGGATGAGGTTGGGATGTGCTGTGTCTGGATCCAGTGTCACATCCACTGCAAACTGCCGGAGCCTGTTCAGCTCAGTCACAGCGAGAAACATCTCCATGTCTTTGCTGAGTTTTTCCTTCAGCTGAGTCACAGTTTCTTTGTAAGATGGCTGGGGGAACCTGGCTTCTGTCAGCATCTCATTTGTGAACGAGAAGCTTGGCAGGAAGTCACGTTGGTCTTTGGTAAGCTGCTCCACCTCTGCGCTCCTCTTGGTCAGCTCAGAGATTTCCTGCTCTAGCTGCTGGATTAATCCTTCAGCCTGTTTCTGTGTCATTTTCTGCTTTTCATCAATCTCTCCGATGATTTTATCCAGACTGCTCTGGACAGAGGCCACCAGCGCTTCAAACGCCCTCCTGCTGTCTGAGGTCTGTCGCTCTGCAGACTTCCTGCTGAGCTCTGCTGTGCGTCTGACTTCACAGATCTTCATCTGCTTCTCCTTGATCCTCAGATCAATTTGGGCTTTCATCTCCCTCAGTTTGGCCCTCCTTGTCTCATCATCACGTGGGAGCGCTGCAGAGATCTTGTGGTCTAAAACAAGCCAAAACAGGAAAAGCTGTAAACAACTTTTTTATTGAGGATTTTTCTCGAGCTGAATTAAATGCAATCATTCATGCAACTAATGTGAACCTTTATTTTTCAGCTCTTCATATTTTTACCTTCATTTGACTGGTTTGACAAATCCTGAACCAGATCATTTCTGTTTATCTTCCTTAAGATATTCATGGTTTCTTGCACAGCTCCTGGACAGCGGTATTTTTGCACCATCAGATCGATCGTATCCAACCTGTCCGCTCCTTCCAGTCGGGCCTCTGGGATGGCTGGAAAACCGTTTTCCATATCCCCCTCCTTCAGGAACCACTTAAAGTTCTTGAACTGTTCAGCTGTCAGACGCTCAAGAGTGCGCCAAAGAGTTTCTTTAGTAGACGTCATTGTGGCTTCCTGATAAACCAAAAAGCAGAAATAGACGGGATGTTTGTGTTATTCTTGTATGAATATGAGCATTACGCTGCTGTGATAAAAGCTTCTTCTTGTGAATTTGTCTGCTCGCATACTTTAAATAAATATTAGAGCAATATTAAAGTGCAGTTAAGACCTAAAATGATTCAGTTTGCTTTGATTATGTCCTAAGTTTAACTTTTGCAGTGTTGATAGCCTTCTGGATTCTTAACAAACGCAGCAGTGACACCAGATCACCGGATGCAAACTCAGTGTTTTTAGTCCTTTTCTCGTTTTAGGGGTCAATCACTGTGCTGCTGTGTGTGTTTTTGTTCACTCCACACGAGTGAACATTTACAGCCATGCATAGACTAATTTGATTGAAATTTCCACTAAATGTAGGAAAAATTGCTGTATAAATCAGGTAAATGAGCAAACGTTTGGGTGTTTTCTTCTAAAGAAAAGAAGACAATCATCTGTGTCGGGCTCTGTGAGACGAGTCCTGACATGCTGAGTCTCAGAGAATCCAGATTATGTTACAGTTCCTTACATTTTTCTTTAATGCTCCACTGAAATGAATCATTACATTAAATATTTAAGTCTTCTTACCACTTCCAACGTGCCCAGAGAAAGTCACCACAGCTTGCTTTCCTTCCCTGCTTCTTACACGTCACATTCACAGCCTGAAAAATGTCAGTATGACATCACTCCGGACTGTCCTATGAGCTGCGCTTCATTTAAACGGTAACTCAGGTTGTTACACCCCACGTGTAAGACGTGTACGGGCAGACCAGACTGCACTATAAGAGTGCAGGAACAGGAAGGACAGCATGTGAGCACATGGGGAACACCTAAATCCAGCAGATATTTCCTAAAAATAAGAAAACACTCAGTGAGAAGACAAAGAATGAAACATTTAATATTTCATTAAAGAATAAAGCTTAAAATGACCCCCAGTTCTTTTGACAACGTATATAATCTCCAGCCAAACTTTGAAGAATAGTTAGACGGACCTTCAGCAAAAGGGAGAAGGTCAGGGTGGATGGAGGGTTCAGAAGACCATTGTCTAAATGATGGGAAAAACAAAACTGGCAGAGAAAAACCAGCAACGACTCAGAGACTCGAGAAGGCAAAGAAGTGGAGAGCTGATCCAGAGCGGTTCAAGGATTTTTCAAACATCCCAGTTTTATTTTAAATGCTCACATTATTTTCTTTACACACAGAAACATGTCGCACATGTCCCGTGAATCTCTCCAGTTCCTTCAGATTCAATGGCCTTCTGGTACGGACCTTGGTCTTCAGTTCACCTCACACATTTTCAGTGGGAGTGAGGGCTTTGTGGAGGTCAGCCAGTAACGTTCACAGTATTCCCACCAGCGTGGTTCAATGTTGGGACGCTCTACTTCGGGTTGTACTTCTCTCGCTTTTCTCTTTAAAAACAACATAAGCTGCGTCTCTGTGACCAAAGAGCTCCAGTTTGAGCTCATCTGAGTAACGTACTCACTTCTAGCATGAATAATCTGTCTCCAGGTTGTCCTTAGCACACTTTAGTCTCTTCTGCAAAAGTGGAGTTTTTCTTGGTCTGCGACCTCACAGTTAATTCCTGTGCAGAGTCTGAGTGATTGTTTTCATTAGCTAACTCCCTCACGAGTGTCTGGGCAGTTGCTCTGAAGTCTTTAGATGTCTCTCACTTGTTTTCTTTCCAGGGTCTTTAAATTTTTTTTGCATCCTACATCTGCCAGGCTTGTTCTGTACTGTGTGGCTCTCTTTGAATGACACTTCTCACTCCAGTTCCTGACACTTAGATATCAATCTCCTCCTGTATGAGCATCTATTCTTTTAATTCAAGTCTAAACTGACGTCTTTTGTTTTAGCATTGATGCCTTCTTAGTAACAGCTCAAACCCTCGTGTAATTTTTTTTTATTTTAAAAGAATCCTCAGCAGGGGTGGATCTAGAGAAATTTTCTTAGGGTGGCAAAATCAAAGCCTTTTTTCCCCCAAACACATATGTAGGTGTTTACATATGGTTAAAATGATTCAAATGCAGCAAGTATACACGTTTTTTCTAAAAATATAGTCTAATTCAATTATTTTCTGTAGCCCACATAATTAAACACTTTAGTTACATAAAAAATGTGAGTTTTGATTTTATGTACTGTATAGCCTGTATAATAAATAAATATGTAGCCCAATAAGTATAAAATCCAGAAAGCTACACAACATGGGGCGGTTCATTTACAAACACAAGTTCAACTTCAGTTTCACTGTTTTTTGTTAGAAAACAATCAAATTGTTACATACTTAAATTACACAAAATGTCAGAAATCTGCACTGTCACGAACAAAAATTTACACTTAATTTTTCATGATTTGTTGGATTAACCCACTGAGGTCCAAAATATAACTGGCCATTGTTGAGGCGACTTGATTTTACATTTGTATTTCACCCTCAAATTGTTTTCATTTTATTTTTTCCCCTTGCCTTATTTGGTTTCATTCTTTGCAGCTCAACCTCACGACTTATCACACCAAATTTAGTTGTTTTTTCATTGAAATACTTAGTATTACTGATCTGAAATCACACAGGAAATTTAAAATCCTGGTAGTATTTTTCTACTGTAAAAAAAACAACCCCCAGACATGTTGAGTCAGTTATTATTTTTATAACTTGAAATGCAAATATAAATTGTAAATTTTGAAAACTTATGCACACATTTTGTAAAAATATACAACTATTTATCTAAAAATGTGTGCTTTTGTGACATTCCCTCAGGGGACATTCGTTAGTCCCCTCACTGACACACAAAACAAAACAGCGACTACACGACAGACTAACTATACTAACTTCACACTAAACGTCACAAATCTCCCACATCTAAAAACTGTCTCTCTCTCTCACTCGCTCACTCGGGCTCTCTCCTTTACTGTCACTCCCAAAACTCTCCCCTCCCTCTTCCGAAACAACCAAATCCTACATGACTTTAAAAAAAATTTGGTCGACATGGTACATTTTTCCACCGATAGGAAAGAAGTGCCTTTTTTTCTTTTCTTTACTGTTTTCGAGCCGTCTTTAGAAAACGCTTTAAATAAACACACACACACACACACACACACACACACACACACACACAAAACTGTGTTTAGAAAAAAAGCATGGCTTATATATATTTAACATAACTTCATAACTTTAATTACTGGCTTGTAATTAAAATTTAAAAAGTGTATACTTTGAAGTCCGAACTTTCACTATGAGCTGAAAAACCGAGTCAACGTGGCTGCAGCTTGTTGCTGCGTCAGCTTACATCAGTCATGTGATTTGGAGGTGCAGCTTGTCCGTGGACCACAGAGGGTTAATAACACTCACCTTCATTCCATTTCCAGAGTGTAACATCCAACCACCTGTGCGAACTCTGAAATCCCCATGGTGTTGTTCAGAATGTGCTCTGGCACAATCATAAGCATTGCTTACTACTGAAAAAAAGAAGAAAAAAAAAACCGGTCTGCGCGATGGGCTGAACCATTTGTTAATGGTGGAGGGGGGTTACACTATGCAATATATTCAGTTTTAGCATTTATATTCACTGTTAACTGTAACTACGGTCAAAGTGTTAATGCTATCTTATTTTAATAAACAACACTGTTATATGCAAAACTAGGGTGGCACTTGGGATGGTAAGAGATCATTTTGGGGTGGCACTTACCCCATGCCACCCTTCTAGATCAGCCCCTGATACTCAGAACCTTCAGAAACAATGACCAGACACATGCTACGGCTGTTAGCAGTCAAACACCTGCCTGACTGCTGCCTCACCGGTGTGAGGGTATCTGTGAGCTCACAGACAGTGAAGGGGAAGCTGCAGTTACACAGGTGTGCACTCACTCTGCTGTATTTTCATACAGCTGCCGTTAGATGGCGACTTAAAAGCACATTTTACTGACAGAACTTCTCAACAACTATGTTTAGTTTTTATTTAATTCATTCATACTCTATAAGATCAAAATAGGCTAATGATTCACTACACATTGAATGCCCTTCTTCTAAAGGAATCAGCTGGTTTGATAAAGACTTTAAATATGTTTCGACTGTTGGTGTTTTCATTCTAACACCAACAGTATATACAAATATATGCAAAGTATCTGTTTGCATATATTGAGGAAATTCTTTATTTTTGTGTGTGTGTGGGGGGGGTTCAGTATGTATAGTTATAGTAGTTTATATTATAGTAATATAAAGCGAAAGTGATTGTAGTTAGTTAATTTTTACACTGTCTGCTGGAAATTAATACCAGTCTGAGAGGCCATTAGTTTATCGTTTTCTTCCATTTTCCACTGCTTCCTTTAGGGGTCACTACCGCGGATCATCTGCCTCCATCTCACCCTGTTGCCAGAATCTTACCCTCTGCATGAACCTCTTCTGGGGTCTTCCTTTTTTCCTCCTGCCTGACAGCTTCATCCTCATCATCCTTTGCCAAGTATATCTACTATCCCTCATCAACACATGTTCAAACCATGTCAGCCTCACCTCTCTAACTGCTGAAACAGTGACCATGAGGCGGTTTTATCCCAAGTCTCCATTTTTTTGTTTTCATTCTACTTTTAACTTAACCTGATGTTTGGTAAAAGCCCAAACAGGTGCTGAAAATTAAAGGTGAGCTGGGAATGATTTGGACTTTTTAAATTACACTAAAAGGTTAAAATAGTTGTGATGATAATATGTGTAATAATCTACTGACACATAAGGTGGCTGATTCTGAGATGAGTGAGAAAATAAGTTGTACCTCTGTGTGTGGGTGTTAGGTCAAAACCAGAGGGAAAGACTCACTAGGGTAGAACAGAAAATCCAACAGTGACTGGAGAAATCCTGGAGGGGTAATCGGGTACAAGGAGGCAGGTGCACTGATTGGGAAACTGGGAACAGGTGAGGAGTGAAAGCCTGGGGAATAGAGTGGACCTGGGAGAGGCCTGAGTGAGTGAGTGAGTGAATAAATGACAGAACGGAAACAGAAGGTAATGTGAATGATTAATCTGCCATCTGCTGGTTTACACTGAGGTGTAATTTGCAGCTCGCTGCTTTGATCTCATTTATTGTCAGATGTGTGATAGAGGAACCAGGAGGAACACTATGCACAAATTCGGGCACACAAACAAATGAAACAAGAACCTGAAATAATTTTACTTTTCAGTGTGGTGGCCTGCTGTCTTCAACTATGTATAAAAGAACCGGGGTCTAAATTGTGGTTTGGTGATCTGATTTTACCCTGAAACCAGGCTCCGCTGATGGGGAAATGACTTTGTGAGGGTTCAGGAGTTTATGTTTGAGTGAAAATGTACCAAGCAGCCTCTAAGCTTGGTAAAATGTGGAAACTCCAGAGAAGCTAGGTTGTCGCTTTCCTTACCCACCCACCTAAAAAGAAAAAAAAAGTCCTGCAGCTGGAATCAGAAACACCCACTGTATTATCCCTGCAACTGAAAGCCACCTAATCAGGATTTTCTGGCTTTTGTTACAGGTTATTTAAGACTAAAGAACCTTCTCATGCTTAAACGAATCCCATTAATCTTGCTGGAATTTTGGCTTAGTGGCTTCTTCTTGGGTAAGGTCAGATTTATATTGCTGGTTTTGCTGATGTCGGGCAGAAGATCATTCAGATCATCTGATGCTGCTTTACAAGTATAAAACTGATCCAGATGGATGTGAATGTTTGAACACATCTATCCATACAACAGCAGTTGACTTATCAGAAGTCAGAACTTACAGATGAAGTGAAACAGTTTGTTTATCCTCCTTTATCCTAGTTGTTGAAGTATCATTCAGATTCTCGTCTCAGCGGAGCAGTGAGTTTAAACATGAGCTCTTTCCATATGTTGATCTTAATTTTATCTGATTATAGTAAACTGGTGGGGGAAAAAACGAGGGAATCCTGCAGGGAAAATGAAAATATAAAAAAAAAAAAAAGAGGAAAAGAGAGAGGAGATGTGGAAGCAGGAGGAGGAGGGTGCAGTGAGGGACACACCCTGAATGAGTGGAAACAGTAGAGCAGGCTCGTGTGTTTACTGATCTGACAGACTGTGTGTTCACTGTGCAGGAAGCTCGAGTCCTCTGAAGCAGGCGGTCGACGTGAATCGAGGGAAAAACCATGGCTGTTAACAAGTGTATCAAATACCTTCTCTTCTTCTTCAACCTTCTTTTTTGGGTGAGTATTTAAGACAACTTGAGTTCTTACAGTTTATTCACAGGTGATGGATTGGGCAGGTGTTTGCAGGTGGCGTCTGAGTTTTTGAGGCTGTTCAACAGATTTCAACTGAGTCTGATTTAAAAGTTTGCAAACCTGCCGGTTTTATTTGATTTGTGTTTGAAGCATTCAGTTTGTTTAATTTGGGCCTCGTCCCTAAATCAGTTTGACAACTGGCACAGTAGGTGTGGCATGCTGGTTTAGGAAGCTGTGATGCAACTTTCAATACTAAAGTTATTATTTATCTATTTATTTATTTCCAATATATTTCTACTTTTTCTAACTTGATTAAGATTTTTCTTAAATTTGGTCTCTTTAACCCCCAGTCTTTCCCTTTTCTGCATTCTTTGTGTGTCCTGACCTCCCTCTGTTTTTCCATCAATTGAGTAAAACGGGTTGTATCAGATTTTTCTGGCTTCACAAACAGGTATTTGTTCAGTTTCTGGGCATGGCTGTCCCCTCCGCCCCTGAGTTGAGCAATTCAGCATGATGGCGCTCCCTGGATGTTTTTGTTTTTTTGTTTGTTTTTAAACATCGCTGTGTGTAGGTCTTTGGAGGTTCACTGAAGTCTTTCTAAAAAGCACTGTTTGCATATTTTCTAAGCAATGTTTGCTCCATCCCACAGATTCTGTGCTGCTAGGAGCCCAACATGTAGCTTGACTGAGTAATTTTTGTTGTTGCTCAACACCAACCTGGTGGTGGCAGGAAACATACATTATCTCTTTTTTTTGTAGGCGGAACAATGGAAGGCCTTTATCAGCTTTGGAGCTGAAGTATTTGAGTTGCCGCTCCCACTAAAAACTTTAAAGACTTTAAGAGCACGTATTTGTGCAAGGCAAGAGTTTGTTTTCCCCGTCAGAGCCAAAACTACAAACGCTGGTGTGCTGGAAACGTAAATCTTAGTCTGACTTCACATGTAATTGTGAAGTTTTTCCCCAACAAGCGAATTGTGCTGTTAGACAATGAGAACAGCACAAATAACCATAATTTTTCAACCATGACGTGATCAAGATTTACAAAACAGACTTTTTCTTCAGCATCACCATGCAGATAAACCCAGCAGTAAACTGTTCACAGAAGTCTGGTCAAAAACTCAGGTTTCCTATAAACGTTTTCAGGCCTCGAAGTCTTTTTGAAACCACAGCTGTCACCACCTGGTGGCCTTCAGAGAGAATCCAGATCTAAAAAACTTCTTCAGTGACTTCAATGGCTAAGCCATGTTTTTATTTTTTAAACTGGTCTTTGTTTGACAATGAAAGCCAAGGCTGTTGACAATTTAATTTTATCATCAGTTTGAAGATCAGGCAGATTAAACTGTGTGAAATAAATGACTGCAAGTCTTATTGTCTTCTGAGTCACTTCAGGTGTGTCAGCAGACCGTAGTTTCAGTGAAATCTGTGGGTTTTTAGATTATGGTGTAAGATGATGAACACTGCTCATAAAGCTGGCTTCATATGCTGTACATGATCTGCACTTGTATCCGTCTGGCCAGCCCGTTCTCACTCCCGGGGCGTACCATACCGAGGTTTTGTTGCGTCCCGCGGTGTTCCTGAGGAACGCAAAGGTTGTCTTCCGCGTTCTTATGGTACGCGTCGGGTTGTGGGTGAAATCCAGTGGAAGGACAGTCCCGTGGTAATACACGTTCCAGCCCTATTCTTAACCTTAACCAGCACAGAAATGACATAAAATTGTGTTTTCCAAAGCGTTTTTAAGAAAATGAACGAACATGTGTAGATTGAGTCCAAGCGGTTCTTGTGTTTTCTCATTTTTACAATCTCGTCATTTAGGAACGTGTTGGGTATCCGAAAGCGTAAAATGTTGGCGATTTGTCACCTAGCGTAAAATATTACGCGTAAGGAGTAAGAACGTGTTGGTCTGGCCGAGTGGCCCAGTTATGAAGTCATTTCTGTCGTTACAGCCTGACGAGTCGGATACGTCATTGTCTTTGGAGCACAGCCAGTCAGAACAAGCAGAAGCATGTTATCATGTTCATCTCGTGTGTGTGTGTGTGTGTGTGTGTGTGTTTGCTCGCAGGTTTAAACATTATTCGGTCATAAACTCATGCATGTAGCTTCTGGCATTTTGTAATCCTCATCAAGCAGTGCGTCCTGTTTGAAAGGTTTCCTCCTGCAGCCTGCTGTGGTTATTTTCAGGTCTTCTCTCAGATTCCCAGAACTGAAGTCAAATCGATCCCAACTTAATTACAGCCACTCAGCGGACGTGATGTGTTTACCTAATGATGGTGGCGAGGGTTGAGCAGGCCTCTTATTTTCTGTGGAGCTCGTTTAATGCTGGTTTTCATATTGTGCTCTGCTGAGAAACATCAAAGAAAGATCCTCTTTCACCACCTATCTGCTCAAACACGACTCCGCCTTGTCCTTCAAGGAACTTTTAAGGTCTTTCTGTACAGCACTCAGCCACAGAAACCACTGCAGACCAGCCCTCAGGAAGCATTACTGCAGCACTCAGCACCGACCAGAGGCACAGAGCCGAGTGGCATTAGTGTTGAGCTTTATCAATGTTTTATGTATTTTTCATAACAAAGAGGACGCTTGTATACATTATTATTAAAGCAGCTGTCAGTAAACCTGCTGCTAGAACTGAATATTTCAAAGGAAATCTAATAAGCCAGCCGTGGATAATGGTGAAGTGAGGCACAGATATGGTACCACAAAATGGGTGACCACTCTCCTTTGGGTTTTTTTTTTTCCATCTTATAGATTGAATAAGGTAAAAAAAATGATTAGATGATGATGAGATTTAGAACATCCTGAATGACCACAGAGACGAACTAGAGGAAGATCCAAATGCAAAATGGCCACACAGCTGGCTCTCCCCTGGGATCTGTGTCTGTGAGGCCTGTTTTGTGTCCTTCCTCTATTATCCTTGCCACCAATCCAGCTGATTCTCTGTGAGCACTTTCTGAATTTAATTTAATTGAGTTCAGAGACAACATTTGTACAAATCAGTCCAAGTGTCACCTTTTGTTGGGATGTTTGAACAAGTAAAAAAGAGGAACTGTACTGTGTCATTTTAAAATGTTGCTTCCTTGTTTATGTGAAGAGCTTCATTATTTCCTGAATAATAATAATAATAAAAAACTTAAATAACTGGAAGTTTGGGTGGGTTACCATCGGGTATGACTTGACAGTCCACTTGAAGCAGTGTCTCGGAGACCTCACTGAGGGAGGCGTTTACAGTTTCGGTGGTCACATGGCATTGCAAAGCTCTGTGGTTACTAGTAGCCACACTGCAGTGTGTGTGTGTTGTGAAATGACGATGAGTCTCCAACTGTGAATCAGTGCTAAGGAATTAACCACCCTCATTCCTTGCTTTTGGGAACATGCCCAATCATGACGTACTCACTGGTTTTACTCCTGATTTAACCATCTAAATTCTTTTAGTCGGAGTCGATTAAATACCAAACGATTACTGTAGACTAAATCTAAAGTGTAGAAGTCTGTCATGTTTTTACTGATGAGTTGCTCCACATGGTTTATTCTTCTTGTCTTTGACATTGAGAAATGTGTTCACATGTCTCTCTTCTCTTCCTCCCACGCGTTGACATTTTGTCATGCTTTTATGAGAAACAACTTCTGATTTGCGGACTTCCAAATTCCTCTCACCTTTCTGCGTAACATAATTACTCTGGGTGGATCTTGTTTGTCTAGAATATGTTTGACTCGTTTTTCTTCAGTGACAAAAATGTCAGTACATAGATCCAGCACGTATCAATTTGATATGATACCGACGTTTGTATTTGTTTTTTCTATAATATTCAGCACTAATAGTCTGAGGTCAAGATTAACCTGTGTGCATGCGCCCTGTCACTGGGATCTCTAATCTTAATCTTTGTTGGGTTTTTCCCGTTGTGGTGGAGTAATGGTAAATAATTAACAGGCAACGTTACCCTTGAAAGGCACTTAAAGGTTAAGTTGTGCATGTCGTGAAATTACTCATAAAAAGGACAAAACTGTGTGACGACAACAACACGTGAACAGACTTCAGTGGTTTCCCATTACATTAACAGAGCTAAGAGGGCCCCACGTGTCTGCCTCTGTGGGTTGTGGTTAAAAAGGTTTTAAATCAGAATCTGAGTACTTTATTAATCCCTGAGGAAATCGTGTGGTAAATGTGAGAAAGAATAAGTTGGGATGAATTCCTGACGTAGTTTATAGTTCATATAGGCTTCGGCCTTTATTTCCGCTGCTCCCTGGGGCGGGTTCGTCTCTGATAGCATGTTGCTCTGCAGGTTTTCTCCTAACAGAAAGTCTCTCTGTGTGTATGTGCTGTGATGATGCCCTGCAACCGTCGCCAACGCCTCCCAAAGAAAACAATGACTTTGTTTGGGTGTGTTGTTCCACTGATAAAGCAGGTGAAACACTCCTGTGCTGCA